TATAGATTTTGGGCTGCTAATCGTGAAAATAAAGTGATATTTAACACGTCACATACTATGTTTTTGAAATCTCTATTATTTTTGCATTTGCTTATCACATTTTAAGCTTACTCATTTTCAATTGCATTATATGATGCTTTGTGTAGCTCATACAGGTCCAGGCCTGTACACAGAGCTGGTTGCACGTTTGTGGACTGCTTCGGCTTAGAGTATGCTGCTGTAAGGGCATAAGGCAGCTCACAACGTAACAACTCTACAAGGTCTAATCCAGTTAAAGACTTGCTGTTGTAGTACGGTTGATGACATCAGAAATGTCTCGCCAATGTCGAAACAGTCATGACACATTCTGCTACATTCGTGGCAAGTATACACTTCGGTCTTACAGAGGCACCATGACTGGGCTTGTTAAGAACTCTACTGTGGTTGTTCAGGGCAAGGCATGGGCTCCTCACTTGTGCAAGATGTGCTGTTATTCAGAGACCTTGGCTCAGAGGAACTCGGAAGTCAATTTGCTGTCCCGATGAAATGACAAGAACAGACTGTTACTTTTGTCTGACTAATGTCTCCTGTTTCTCTGCTAAAAATATGTAAATCAACTTGAGTACCCCAATCTGTTTTCAGCCATGAGACCAGGGCCACATCATGATAGTGTGCCAGTACCGAAGCCACCCGATAAAAGGAGCTTTGACAAAACAGATTAAGATCCGGCAATGCACCAACCAGATAGACAGTGACAGCGACCCGGATTTTGAACCATTCATGCCTGGCAAGCCTCATCTTATAACACAATCAGAATTAAATGTCCTGATCAGAGACGGGAGTTTGTCAAATTCAAAAGCAGAACTACTAGGTTCAGGACTGCAAGGATGGTATTTGGTATCCCTAAGCACGACAATGTCTGTCTTCTGAAGCCACCAAGATGAATAAAAATTTTTTTTTGCACAGGTAGACAACCTCGTTTTCTGTACTGACATTGACTTGTGATACATATTGGAACTCACGCATTGTATATAAATTAACATTGTGGGAGTAAACACCTTATATTCATTAAATGTTTCTCAAGATTCCTACATGATAGACATTCTGAAATGTTATTTGTGTTCAGCTTGAAGGGGTCTACTTTGATCACCAATTTGTTTTTAGGAAGTAAAACTTTAGAAAGGATTTGTTGTCCAAGGTAATTAACCCTGTCTGCACTAGGCTGGCAGATCTCATCAGCTGCAAACTAGATTTTAACACCTGTCCTAACTAAGTGTTAAAGATCTAGAAGTTTGGCTTCTTTCGTTGTATGTTAATGAGGGGGAGCTCAATCTGTCAGTTAATCTGTCAATCTCAATCTGTCACAGTTAAAAGGTGGCCATACACTTTACAACCATCGCAAGACCTTAAAAGGAGAACTATGGGGTCAGTGTTTTTCCCCATAGTTCTCCTTAGATCGTAAGATTTTCTAGCATGCTCCTTAGACAAAAGACGTGCGACCGTACGTCTTCATTCACACTGCACGATTCTCGTAGATCGCAGGAATTCCCGCGATTCTCGTACGAGAATCGTGCAGTGTATGGGCACCTTTATACTTTCTTCATTCAACCTGCAGCCTGAACAAACAAAATTTTACAGATTCCTCTATTAACACTTACAAGCATGGATGGCGGAATCCCCCACGGTTTTGCATTGTATTCTAACAATGGCCGCTGAACAGGATACATGAACAGAGCTTTTGGCTGCAAGCTCTTTTCGGTCAAAGATTTTCCAACCAGTTCTTTCGATCAGCTGAGGGATGCCGGGCAGAAGGGTGACAACAGAGGCCCCTACAGTGTGAATTTATAGCCAACTTTAGTCTATTAAGACAGTCAAGAGTTTCCACTTACTGAAATTGAAAGAGAAGCTGTCAAAGGCCTGCTGAATAGATATCTAAAAAGGAAATCTTTCCATCTAGAAATTTTTGTTTAGATATGCTGCTTGATTAGGAACACAACATATAGTGGGGTTTTTTTTAATTTCACCTGCGAAAGTTGAAATACACTTTAAAATGGTTTGCCACCCTTTCTATGCACTTAACATAAGGATTGGGTATGCTGATAAAAATAAATGGGATCTAATAGTGAACCTTTACTCAAATGTTATCTTTAAGCGGATCTAAATCCAAGAACAAAAATGCAATATATTGTAATATATTTTAACTCACCAGTCCTAAGATGTATCATCTTAGGACTGGTGAGACATATTCAGCAACTACATAAAAAACCTGGTCACTTACTGTGAGCTGACCTGGAAGAATAAAACAATGTATCGTATTTGTGTAAACTACTGATCCCATCATTACCTATGTAATGGAGATGAAGAAAGGCAGATATGTTTGAAATCCAAGTGGCAACCACGTCTCCCTCCATGGATACAATGGATGGAGTTACCTAGGGACAGGAAGTGTGTTATTTACAGGATATATGAAAAGGTAAAAAAAAAACAAAACCCTGAAAAATGAATGCAGCCACATCATTGATGGACCAGTAAGCTGCAGTATATATCATTTTTGTTTTGGGGGTTTAGATGCACTTTAACATAGCCTTTTCTCACCTTTTAAATTTAAGACCATTTTAAATCAGAAGCATTTGGGACTAGACTGGAGAGAAAAAAAGGGTTTCTTGCTGAAAAACGTAAAGATGTATCATATCTCTCCCAGTTTTAGCTGTACTATATGTTGTCCACATTAAACTAAAGCAGCATTTCAAATGTATGTAAATCGTGGTACTCAGATCAGCGACAACTAGATGAGCTGCTGCTTGAATGTAAAGTATTGTTTTCCTGAAGAGGGCAGCTTAGATCTTAATTGTCTGTGCAATTGAATCTTCAAATTAAGAATGGGCTCATCAGCTTAAAGAAGGGAATTGAATCATCCGTTAGCTGCTAATATGTGGAACATTTTCTTGATTCAGGAGGGAAAAAAAATAAAAATGTAGTGGGCTTAGGTGCCAGTGACCATAATATCATTGGTCTTTCTTTTACATATGTGCAAGACCTTGACTATGTATGATAAGCTTAAGAAGTTGGAGTTAACACACCAGATTTTGCCTTTTTTATAGGGATTCTCTAATCCAGCAGTTGTATGCAACTCTCATCATCTGGACTTTACTATTCGATACCATTATGTACGATCAGGATGTGAATGACAAAATGTGAGGGTAGCTATCAGATTTAAGGGGACCGCAAACCCTGAAACTAACAAAGACTGAATACCTAAGCCCGATTATGACTGGTGATTCCTCGTGGGCTCTAAACATTCTGACCAGCACTCATGTATTTCTGAACAAGATCTACCACCTCGTCCAGACATAATAAATCAAATTGTTAATACCCAGGATGAGTCCCTGAAGTGGAGGAACAGCAATGTCAGCTTACTACTACTGCATAAACCAATTATAATGCTCTTTAAGGTTCATGTTAACTGCAGGTGACTTTTACCTCCATGTTCTTCAACACATTATAGAATAATTGGAAATATGTAAGGCTAGCTCTGCTTTGGGTACAACATTAAATCAGTATTTGTGAAGTCTTTTCTTTAATTAGAAAGTCTGATTATTCTTTGCAGGATCATCACTCCTATTCCAATCTGAAAGGTCTCCTCCCTCTGGCACTACAGCCCTTCAAGGGCCCTAGCATTCTTGCAATTTTAACCTACCCGGCTTTTACCATGTGCTGATTTCTGGACAATTCTGTTTCCATTAAAGACTTATTTAGCTTGAGCCAACACACACCTTGGGTCACCAGCCTTTAAATCAACGTATGGGTTGGTCTCCACATCTCAATGGATTCAGTTTCCTTGGTTTTCATAGAGGTTGGCATTTCTTAGCCTTTAACCTCCCTAGCGGTCTGATTCTCAGTTTTTTTTTTCTATTTTTTTTGTGGGGGGGGGTTCCATTTTTTCTTCTTCTATTTTTTACTTTTAAATCTTCTGGCGGTTCTGCCCCCCTGCAGCGCGGGCGCTCGCAAGGGACTGAACCCGGATGCCGGCATCGGCCGGAGGACACAGCAGGGCTCGTGGACAAGGTAAGTGACGCACAGTGTAATCCCGAGTGTGGCTCGGGGTTACCGTTTTTGGTACTGAAAATTAACCCCGAGGCACACTCAGGATTACCGCCAGGAAGGTTAAGGATCCCTGCCCTAAATGGTAAGGCAGCACATAATTCACTGGTGGCTCTAATGTGCTGGGTCACAAAAGCCATCTATAAGTTCCTACGGTTTTTGAGAGCAACCATGTCACAGGCGCTCCCAAATACCTCGAATATCGCTGTCACTTTATAATGGCTCTGGTCTTGTATCTCTGCCACTAAACTAGATTTACACACTCTTCCGCTAGCTGTACTTTCCAGTAGTTTTGCGTCATTACTTTTTAAGTCCAACACATCCGACAAGTAGAATATTGTTGCCATGATCACTAAATTATATAATATAGTGATATTATGTCTTAGATTAAGAATTTGACTTTGTAAAGTACAATGTGAAAATCATGAGATAATGGAGCCCATTCTGTCATAAAGAACACTGGGCAAACAAAAAACAAAAGGGTTAAGTGATTGTTTTGTCTAGGGGACTCAATACAAATATACTCCCCTGATCCTCAATCCCTCTGGGTTGCTAGAGCAGTCCTTGCAACCTCTTCTCTACTGGGCTCAGGTGGTCTAAAGACCGATTACATCATCATGTTATATAGACTTGCATTAGATGTGGGGACGCCGAGGTACATTCCATAGCAGAGGGGAAGAGAGGCGAGTGCTGACAACCACATTACAAATGTTTTTCATGGCCTACAGTTTTATTAGGAAGACAAACATTTCTGCAAAGCATAATACTGGCATAAACAAAATAAAGTGATTTGAAATATATCTGGATTGTGATACTTGACATTTTCATACCGAGAAATATTAAGCATTTACAATATTTGTTCTCCACATGTACTTTAACGGAGGGGAAAAAAAACAAAACAAAAAACCCCCCCCAAAAAACTAAAAACCATACCAAGAATAAAATGAATAAGTTATTTAGCTTAGAAGAACAGGCCAACCTATGTTCAGTGCAAAATCTCATAACGAGGTATTAAGATGGAAAAAAAATAAATCACATGTACATAACAGATGATAAAACCTTATGTGCAATATACTTCTCCCAAAAACTGTTAGTTATTAATTGTGCAATATTATTATTATTACTGTTAGAAACTAACACAAGTTATTGTGTAGGAAAAAAAAGGAACATGGTTTTTGATATTGCGGAATTTCCTTCCATCAAAAGGCATTACCCAAAGAATAGACAAAATATTGCTATTACTCCAAAACTGAGTAGTGCACATAAAATGTCCAAATAGAATGGTGCAAGAAAAACAAACAAAAAAAGGATTCAAAATGTTTTTGTAATAAAAATACTAGTCATCAACACTACTCAAAAGATGAATTCTAGACCGTTCGTACCTTGAAGAGGGGGGAAAAAAAACAAACCAGAACTGTTAAACTGTTACTACAAAGTATCATCCAGCTTTTCCACAGCAGTAAAAATGTCTAAAATTACAGGAGTAAGAAAATAGCAAACTTTGTAAACGTTTTATTTTCTGGTTCAAGTCTGTATCCTGCTATTGGCAATACAGCCATATCGGCATTGGAAATATTAGGACTAGTTTAGCTTAGGAGGAGAATGGGATCCTCAAACTCGTAGAAAGACATTGAGCTGGTCTGACTCTCTCCAGAGTCGGAATCGTAAGGAGTGTCTGGCAGCTCGGAGAATGTGTATGCTAACTGTTCATCTTCCAGGTCAGATCTGGCACACAAAGGGTTGGAGTATTCCTCTTCTCCAACATAATTGAAGTCTTGAGGGATATAAAGCATATCTGGATAGTTCCTTGTAATCAGATCACTTGTGGTTTTTAGTGAGGTTTTTCTAAATGCCATGAGATGCATGTGGGAAAATTTGGAGTAGGTCATACGCTTGAAACCAAGAGATTCAATGGCAATTTTCCAGCTCTTCATCATCATTGCATGACGATTTTGATGAGAAGAATCTGGGGTAATAATGAGCAGCAAGCCATTCAGTGCAAGTAGTTCATGAGCTTTCTTACAGCAAATCCATCGCTGGTATCGTGATGGGAAATAAGACAGGAGTAGGGAAAAGACAACTACATGGAACAGTTCAGAAGGTAGGTGATCTATAGGATTTTTCATTTGCCTCAGGAAGGCCTCGATAGCATCAGGTGCAAGCTGAAGCGGCCTCTGGATTTGCAAGTTCAGGAAGTCACATTTGTAAACGGTCTAATCAATTTAAGGGGGGGAAAAAGAGAATTAAAAATTATACCAAGGCATATATTTGTCCTCACTGCCTGCTTTGTTATGCATTTTGCTGAGTTTCATATGACAGGTATAGGAAGTTACTGTTACTAAAGTTTCCAGTCCAGTGTGACACAGGACCTCAGTAAGAACAAGGCCTTTACAATGCCTTTTGCATGTATTGTGCTGCATTTTGCCATTCAAATCATGGCCAATACTTCCAAAACACAGCACAACATGTAAAAATACATAATGTGCATTTCTGTTCACAGAAAATAATCCTTCAACATAAACCAGACATTCTGGAGAATTCAGTGGAGTCCCTTCCCGGCCAATCGTGAAACCGGGCAGCGTGTAATGACGAGCTGCCCGGCTTCCTGATAACGGAAGTACTTGTGCTAGGCATCGGAGCATTTGGGCGCTTACGAGTACTCGCCCAAATACTCGGAATCGGCACCGATATCGATACTAGTTTCGGTGCATCCCTAGTTAAAATGTATGTCAAAACACTCCACATTATTATATGATGTACAATATTACTCCACATTATTATATGATGTACAATATTACTCCACATTATTATATGATGTACAATATTACTCCACATTATTTTATGATGTGCAATATTACTGCACTCCACATTCATTTTTATGATGTACACCATTTTTATGATGTACACCATACACTATTATGGCACACCACATTGTTTGGATGCATTTGTAACCAACAAAGGGAGTTTTATTTTATTTATACACAGAGGGTTAGGAAGGGTCATCTAAACTCTGACATTAGTTATTACCTCAACAGCAGGCACAATATCGATACCAACAGCCAGAAAATCTTCATATTTTACAAACGGATTATAGCAGCTTCCTACGTCAAGTAGTCTGATCTTCCCAGGAAGGTGAAATCTGTTTGGAAAAATTATAAAAAACGGGTAACTTTACAGGAAAAAAAAACACTTCAGATGACCCAGTGATTACTTTACACATCAGAATTTTGCTACTTTATTTTCCAAAGCATATTTTACAGATAATACTACAGTGTACCATCGGTTATAATTTTTGCCACGTTGTTTAGAGAACAGGAACTTCATATTCAACTGACTAGAAGAGGAAATATTCACTTACAGACCTCGTGTACAACATCTTCTACCCAAAATAAATGTATAACCTTAAACTGGCCATTCATCTTACTATAATCTCCTTTGGGCATACTGTCAGATTGTAACAGTTATGCAGTGCCGGGCCTAATCAATTTGCTTCATTATTTAAGGCAGAATCACAAACATTAAAAATACATACTCCTTATGTATTCACATTGAAATGAGGATGCATTACCTGTTGTCCCAAATAATATTTTACCTTGACGATTGAGATCTTACACAAAATCAATCTCTGGAATTAAATGTACATGTCAGAAACATGTACATTCATATACAAAGCTGTGTGAGAATTGGCAAAATGTGCTAAAGATATTGCATCTTTGCTAGGACACAGACTGCCGGCCCTCTCCGTCTGGGCAACCAAGGATGCTGTGCAGCCAACAGCATCCTAGCAACCAGTGATGCTTAGCCGCACAGCATGATTGGTCGCCAAGACACAGAGGCAGCCTGCCCACCAACGTCCTAGCAACCATGATGTGGGGTAACCTGAGGGACCAAGCAATGCCCCGATAAACTAGGTCTCATTTACCGCCAGTTTCCTTTTCCCCAAAACAGTGGTGTTTCTTTATGAATTTGTCACAGCCATTGTGACATAATGCGTTGGTAATATGGTCGCCCAGCTTCTATGAATTTGGGCAGGGCTTTTCAAGAGGGCCCCAAAAGCTGTGAATCACCCCCTAATATCTACAATTAATACTGTGCAGAACATGGGATTCTTATTAGAGTTCCTGGGGGGGCGGCAAAGTGTTTTAGAAGGACAGGCAGCACCAATATCAATGCAAGAAGTGCTGTGCATGGACTGCTGCTGGGCATGATTCTCCCAACCATTGCCTACAACAAAATGGTGGCAGTGATGGCTATGCGCTGTAAATATTTTTCTGTCACAGTGCTATGCCCGCCACTATTTTGTGTGTGACCATCTCAGCTAAGCTGTAGATAATCTATCCTCCCTAGGCTACATGGGGGAGAGAGGAAGATGAATGTTAAGGCATTGTACTAAGAATGTGAAAGAAAGAAGGGGGGACCTAACACTAACACATGTCAGAAGGTGGGGGTAGAGCAACTAGTATATCCTGGTTTCCAACTGAAAAAAAACAAACAAACAAGAAAAAAGGATTAGTGTCCCTTTACTATTTACCAAGTTTCAAATTCCAGTGCTACACAAACTGATGGTAACTGACCCATCTGTGTGCTAAGGTATGTGGAGAGCAATTTGGCACAGCAGCATATAGAAATGTCCATAATAAAATGCATGAATTAAACATATGTAATGGTTGCCAATAGGGGGACAAATGTCTTTTCAAATAGCTTTAAAATAGAACGGTGTATAATAGTAGAACACATGTTTGTCACAGTGTCTGTGTGTCTATTTTTAGAAGTAAAAAAAAATGCAAACATCTGGCATGAAGAGATTTACAATTTATCTGTCCACAAGTAGTCAAGCAGAAACAAGTGCTCCAATTTACTGTGTGTATTCCATATTAAACAGATAGATGTTCAATGTTATTCCAGCACACCAGCATGCATTATTCACTCAAAAGTATTGGAGCTACATAACATCTTTTTTAAAGGGAATTTGTACTCCTATTATGGTGCTCACATATTTAATGTAAACAATCCAATCCATGGGTATACATGTATTCATTTCTTTATTAAATTTGTAAATATATATAACTGGTGGAGGCTTTTTGGATCCTCTTTTCTCCTGCTGTAATGATTATTGATTTTTTTTATTTTTGGTGAGATTGAACATGTAAACATACTTACTCTTGATTTGCTGTGTTGCCATTTGAAATGCTGAGCCCAGAAGCAAGCATTTGTTCACAAGCAGCAAACTGATGATTGTTTAAGGCTGCTCTTCTTGCATCTTTCTCAATCGCTTTTCTCTTTCCTCCATTGAAGAAATATTCTTGACAAACACTATAAAGACAATATTACATTTGTTTAGTCTGATCATTCTCTTCAAATAAAAAGTTCTTATAAAAACACTGCTGTATTTAACAGCACAACAAATATTTAGTGCAGCGGAAACTGGACTGAACAGCACATAAAAAGTGGACCTCCAGCAATTTTTTTTTTTCTGGATAGAATGACGTACAGTTTTCAGCACACATATGTTAACACATTCTCAGGGTGGCTATAAGCAGCCTGATAAATGCAAAGTGATTTCACAGATTTCATTAATTTTGCGATCATTATAAATGGGCCATGTAAAAGGTCCAATGGTTGGCATTTTAGGGGAATAAATGTATTGGTGTGAGCACCCCAGGTCTGTATACCAGGCATATCAGGAAGATACCGTATATACTCGAGTATAAGCCGTCCCGAATATAAGCCGAGGTACCTAATTTGACAAAAAAAAACTGGGAACAAATCTGTCCAAGGACTAATAAGCAGGCACCTAAAACTGACTGCATGTATCTTTGAAAGTGTTGTCCACCTCCCCAGATGGATCCTGGAGACTTCTAAAACACATGAAAAGTACATTATTTAAACCCCTTCCCCCAAAAAAACCCCAAACTAGGGATTTTGCTATGCATGCCTACTCATCAGTGCAAAGAAAAATCAATATTGGTACACAACGCAGTAAACCATAGCAACTAGTTTTCTGTGGGCAATCCAGTGAAAGGTAAATCTGAAAAGGTTCTTATGGTTTGCTCACTGCCATGCTTAAAAATAAAGTCTGTAAATACATTTACATGAGATAACTGTGTGTGACTGATTGATAATAGCTAATGGAGAGAAATGTGTCTGTATTGCCCACAGCAATCAATCACATCCTTCCTTTCATCAATGGTATTTACCCAGAAGACATTTCTCCCTTCAGAGTGACTTATTTGCATAAATTTCACAGGGAGTAATGAACTTTTAACGCCCATAACATTTCTTTCATTTTTATTTTTTTTAAGCTTTGCTGGATGCTTTGGAAAAAGTCCCTTTTTTGAATGATTCGTACAGATGCATCTCCTGCATTCCTTACAGCATCTAGACCAAGGTGTCAATATGGTGCTTGCAGTGATGAGGACGGATGGTGCTGCGCATGTTCAAGTACAAGAAAATGGATGATCATCAGCACTCAGGAAATACTGTTCAAATCTTAGCGTTCATTTATTTGAAATCTAGCGTCACATAACTAACGTTTCGAGGCCATGCAGGGTCCCTTCATCAGGGCAACAGAGTGACAATGCTATAAAGTGAGATACACATATATACCCTCAAACCCATTACAAAAAAAAAGGAATGACGTTTTCTTTTAGGTCTTAGAAAACACTAAGATCATTCAAATTTTAAATGATTGAGATGCAACTAAGATTTTATAAAAGACAGGCACATTTATATACATCTGTGTGCCTTGATCTGTGCTGCAACAGCCTTGCTGTAACAAGAAACGTTGACCAGGTCTGAAACTCTTGTAAAGCGTAGTTCCCATTTAGACAATGGTGCTTTCGCAAATAGTTGGTGAAGGAAGAAAAAAGGATGTGGAATGTTTTACGTTCAGCATTTGTTAAAGTGAACTGAAACAATATACATTATCAATGCAATGTTTTTAAAAGGTACTGTTACCATTACTAAGCAATTAAGCTGTCAAGTGACTGTACCTAGACTTAAGGGGAGAGATTTGGGGAAATTAGGTAATCGGTCAACTGCAGGTAGGAGAGAAGCATTTCTTGAGTTTACCATACATTAGGAACAGTTATAAAAATTATTTAACCCCCATTGCCATTCATTTAAAAAACAAAATAGATACAATTCGGGATCAGATTGCCACTGTCCAGTCATCTTCCCCTATTAATGTACCAGACCCACCATCATACGTGTTACTTTCCTCTTTTAACCACAGAGGAGGTAACAAAGCTTCTCTCTGACACCCACCCACCAGCACTTGCCCCCTGGACACTGTTCCCTCAACACTACTTCAGTCACCCTCTTGCTCTATCCTACACTCTCTTACTCACATTTTCAATCTTTCACTCTCTACAGGCATCTTTCCTTCCCCTCTAAAACATGTGCTGGTCACCCCAATACCCAAAAAACCCTCACTGGACCCTACCAACCTCAACAATCTCAGACCAATCTCCTTACTCCCATTCACCTCCAAACTCATAGAACACCTTATCTACAACCTTCCGAGTCGCCACCTCACTAATAACAACGTTTTGGACCCCTTACTATCCGGCTTGTGCCCCGTACACTCCACTGAAACCGCCCTCCTAAAACTCACCAATGACCTACTAACTGCTAAAAACAATGGCCACTATTCCTTATTCTTGCCATTAGACCTTCCTGCTGCTTTTGGCACTGTGGACCACCTGCTCCTCCTCAAAAAACTCCACTCGCTTGGCCTTCAAGATTCTGCTCTCTCATGGTTCTCCTCCTAACTAACCAAGTGCTCCTTTAGTGTCACCTACAAATCTAACTCCTCTCTTCCTCTTTCTGTAGGGGTCCCCCAAAGCTCTGTCCTTGGACCCCTTTTCTTCTCTATCTACACCACCTCTCTTGGTCAGTTAATAACCTCACATGGCTTCCAATACCATCTCTATGCCGATGACACTCAAATATATATTTCTACTCCACAACTCACCCCCTCAGTGTCCTTGCGTGTCATTAATCTACTAACTGACATATCGGTCTGGATGTCGCAACAATTCTTAAAACTCAACCTTTCAAAAACTGAGCTCTTGATATTTCCTCTTCCTCATGCATCTTCCCCAAACTTTTCCATTGACATTGATAACACACTCATCCATCCCTCATGCCAAAGGTGCTAGGTGTCATCCTTGACACGGACCTCACCTTTCTTCCCCACATCCAATCACTATTCAAATCCTGCCACCTTCACCTTCCTAACATCTCCAAAATACGCCCCTTCCACACCAATGAAACCGCTAAATTACTCATCCACTCCCTTGTTATCTTCCGTCTTGACTATTGCAACTCCCTCCTCATTGGCCTTCCATTACACAGGCTATCCCCCCTTCAGTCTATCATGAATGCTGCTGCTAGACTCATTCACCTAACCAACCGCTCAGTGTCTGCATCCCCCCTCTGTCAATCCCTGCACTGGCTTCCAATAGCCCAGAGGATAAACTTCAAAATATTAACAAATCACTTATAAAGCCATCCACAACTCTGCCCCCGGCTATATCTCAAACCTTGTCTCAAAGTATCACCCTAACCATCCCCTCCTCAAGACCTCCTGCTTTCCAGCTCCCTTGTCAACTCCTCCCATGTTCGCCTCCAGGACTTCATTAGAGTCTCTCCCATCCTCTGGAACTCTTTACCCCAACCTGTCCGTCTATCTCCCACCTTGACTGTCTTTAGGCGATCCCTTAAAACTCATCTCTTCAGGGAAGCCTATCTCACCTCAACCTAACCACTGAACCATCACGTTCTCAAACAATTCATCCCCACACAGCTACCTCCTCATGTATCACTTGCCCCTCCCTTTTAGATTGTAAGCCCTCACGGGCAGGGCCCTCCTTACCATCTTGTCTTGAATTGTTTTGCGATTGTAATGTCTTCCTTATATTGTAAAGCGCTGCTCAAACGGTTGACGCTATATAAATCCTGTATTATAACAATAATAATAATCATAATAGCAAATCAGGTTTATTGGCAAAATTGGCAAACTTTCAGTTGTTTGCAATGAACAAATCAAAAACAAAACTACAAAATGTTTCAAGTGGTTTCCCCAAGTTCAAGTGAAAATTCAACTTTTAATGACTTCTGCAGTCTCAAAATGATTCAACTCCTTCATAGCAAACATCTTTACAACTTCGTAGAGCACCCTTTTGCTGTTATGACCTGCTGCAAATGAGATGCATAGCTAGACACCGGCTTCTGACTTGAACTCCATAGAAAATCAGTGGTGAGATTTGAAGAAGGGGGTTGCAGTACTCAAATCCAAAAATATTAGTGAACTGGAAGCCATTGCTCATGAGGAATGGGCTATGATTCCTCAGGATCACTGCCAAAAGCTGGTGTCTGGTTATGCATCTCATTTGCAGCAGGTCAACAGCAAAAGGGTGCTCTACAAAGTTGTAAAGATGTTTGCTATGAAGGGGTTGAATAATTTTGAGATTGCAGAAGTCATTAAAAGTTGAATTTTCACTTGAACTTGGGGAAACCACTTGAAACATTTTGTAGTTTTGTTTTTGATTTGTTCATTGCAAACAACTGAAAGTTTGCAAATTTTGCCAATAAACCTGATTTGCTATTACGATTATTATTATAATACAGGATTTATATAGCGTCAACAGTTTGACATTACAATCACAAAACAATTCAAGACAAGATGGTAAGGAGGGCCCTGCCCCTGAGGGCTTACAATCTAAAAGGGAGGGGCAAAAATATTATCGCTGTAGTGTGTCAACTAACACTTTTTTTTTTAACTGCAGCAGCTATTAGTCAAGTGTCCCCATCATCTAAAATGGAATTTCAGATATAACACATTTATATCTAATGTGTTGCTCCAAGGAAACCAGTCACCAATAGGCATCTTATCTGTAATAATCTCAATATCCACTCTTGAACTGTGTTAATAGTGTAGTTACGCTCAGGGATTACTATTTTTGTTGTTAATTTACATGTATTCACTCCCTGTCATGCTGTAAGGCCTATTCTCCTGTCTCAGCTCAGTGTTGATAACAGTTAGGATTCACTTGTGATTGTCAAAGGTGCTGTCAGGATTACATGAAAGAAAACCATAGATTGTCATAATTGACAGCGTATCAGTTATCAGCTCTGATCTGAGATATGAAAACCTATATTGGGGCCTTAGAACCTAAAGGCATGTGTTCCCTGACAGAAAAAGAATAGAAGTGAATCACAACAAACCAAGAAATAAAGCTATTCCTGTGAGGTAAAGTAATATAACAGAAGATTGGAGATTTACATTCTTGAGAGAGAATCAGTGCTAAAGGATGTGCAGAATAATAGTTACCCAAGGCACCATTCAATGCGGCCTTCTCCTTCACACTTCTTAGCCCAATGATTACCCGCCAAGTTTTTCATTGCAGCAGCGTATTCAAATAGTTTCTCTTCATCTTGGCAATGTTCCTTCCATATTTTATCAAAATCACCAGCTACAAAAAGGAAAACAGTGTTAAAAACAAAAGAAAACAAAAAACCCAACACAACAAACTTGACTATGAATACATTGATTAAATGAGGAATCTTAACAAATACTGCAGGGAAAGAGAACGTAAAACAGGTATATACATAGTATTAAGGGTATGTTTTGGTAATTAAAGGATCAGAGCATAGGGAAGCTGTCACACAGCACAGTCTGAATGGCTCTGTGAACTCTCAAGAGAAGCCACAATTCTATATTTTAGCCTAGGAAACCAGGATTGCTGTAATGCTTGTGTTGTTTAACTAGACACACAACTTAAACGGTATGTAACCCTTTTACCTAACCAGAAACTTCAAGTAAAAATGAAAAGTGACTATATACGAATATACAAATAAACTACTGCTGGCCATACACTGCTCTATTTTTCTTGTTCAACCGGCGGGCTGAATGAAAAAAAAAATAAAGCAGATTCCTTCATCAATGCTACGAGTGTGCCGATCGAGGAATCCCGCTGTTTACATTGCATTCTGACAGCGGCCAGCACCGGAACAGAGCTGGCAGCTCATTGGCTGCCCGTTCGGTTTGTAAAAAGATTTTCCGGCAGGTTTCTTTGACCAGCTGATCGAGGGATGCTGGTTAAAAGGGTGCGGACATTGTACATAAGTTGTACAACAAGGCACGATTATTTTTATACTGTTACTTTCACCATACTTGCCCAGGGTAGGCAAGCGAGGGAGCTTTGCCTGTCATGCCTTCAGTACATTTCTACTGGTCAGTGAAGCAGCTTACCACTGCGATTGGCCAATAGGATTGCAAGGGGCGGGACATGTCTGCAAGTCTACCTGGAAGTACTGTGAGTTTTGCCTGTCAGAACAGCCCAGCATTTAGCCATATCTGCAGGTTTTTGAAGCTGATATGTGCTGGCACCACCAGTTTATTTGCCTTTTCTTCAAAAGACAAGAGCCTAGTTAAAAGGTGATATGTGCCAAGTGAAACATACACTATATGCTTTCATTGCTGACCTTCTCAATGTGTTGGCTGCCCTGCGGTCTTTGGCTTTAGTACTTTATAAAAATTAATAAATTAACCAAATAGAACAAACAGATGGTAAAACAGGCACTTTATACCCTCACTGTGCTCCCACACCTCTCCAATCTGTTGCCAGAGCACTGTCACTCTCAGCTTTGGGGCACACTATAGAATTTCCCCCCACCAGCCATATCTGTAGATCACCAATCTAAAGATATCCATGGAACAACCATCTAGCCTAGACCTGGCAAGAAATGTAGAACATTACCATTTCATAGCACATTTTCTCACATATTTACAAGTTGAATTTTTGGCACTGATACTGTTGTTTGACCAAGCTGCCATTAAATCAATTTAAAAATATAGCTAAAATTGCCAATGGCTATTGCTTCTTGAAAATGACTTGTTTATCATTTCAAACTGAACTTCGTGATGGGCTTTATTTGCACTATACAGCAGTTCTTGCTTGCTGTGCATCTGGTGAATAAAATGGCTCCACCCACTGTCCTAAAGTAAGGAGTATATTTGGGATATGTGATTGAACGAGAAAAATGAATACCTTATGTCTTAAGAAGGCATCACTGTGCTACGCACTTATTGGTTTGGAGGGCCCTTGGAATGCTTTGGTCCCTTTTCACTAGAACCAGTATGGTTATACCATTTTGCTATCTTCAGTAATGACAAAGTTTTCACCAAATAAACAGGCCCATGGAAATATAAGAATTGCTCTGGTCCAATACAGGTGCGAGAGCTGAAGTGGTAATATTAGGTTTCAGTGAATTGCATACAGAACTCAGACATTTGCATCACATGATACTGTAGTACAAAATGTAATCCAACAAAGGAGAGACTGCTGTCTTATCAGGATACAGACTGCTTTGCAAATGACTAATTAATGCAGTCAGCGATGCATGGATAATACTAAAATAGCTGCCAAATTACAAACACAGATGCTTTCAAATGAATACGCAAAACAAAAAGATAATAAACCTTATCTTACAGGCTAATGTTCAGAGTACTGCTCCATGGAATAATACAGCTAAACCACAGGCCGCACAAAATGAAATCAATTAGCAAACATTTCTGGATGACGTGTGAAAAATTTGCTTGACATTTAAAGTGAAGCACTCCTGGATAAATCAAGCTGAACATATGATGAAAAAATGCATAAGCAGAGGTTAATGTCAGTGAAAGCTCCATGTCAAAACAATCATCAGAGCCAAATATAAAGGCAGCTGAACTGACGGGTAAATCTCAACTTTTACCGGAACAGTTCAACTTAAGGTGCCCATACACTCGTAGACCTTTGGTCAGAAATCATACACGAACGGCCTTTTGAATGGAATTTGAACAGTTGATGGTACATCACCAATTTTCTTTTTAGATATTGTGATGGGTTGGAAAATTTCTCGCTGATTGAATGAAAAATCAATGTGGGGTTTTAGTTTCTCAAAACTTGTTAAAGATGTCACCAGCACACCATATTGAAGTGAAGAACACATCTGTTTATTGATGCTTCATGTCAAAACAAATAGCAATGTTTCGGGACCACACAGTGTCCCCTTTATAAGGCTTGATGAAGGGGACTGCGGTCACTTCGAGCACCTACGCTGACAGGGATACCCGGTAAGGAGTGCAGCAGGATTCTGGAATACTTTTGTCAAAAATCTCAGCAATAACACAGCACATGCTCAAAAGGAAATTATTTCTGTCGTTCGTCAAAAATTGGTTGGTTAGCATGGCTAACAAACGATTTCCGAAATCGACATTTGACCATGCTTGATGGGGTATTCAAGCTATAATTGAACGAGAGTTTGTGGCAGAAACGAAAATCAACTAATGTATGACCACCTTTAGTCCTGTTAACTTCCACATTCCAAGCCAGCCTATTGGTAAGTTCAATTCCCCTTCACAACTAGTGTTTTGTCATATGTTTGAAAAGTGCAAAAAATACCAGTTGCTTTTTCCAAAAATCTTATGAGGTGATAACCTGGGGTGAGCAAATCCGATCAGGTTTGATTTGCTGGAACTTCTGCAAACCCGAACTTGGCAACAAATCTCGATTAAAGAACTCCATGCAGTGGCGTGCTGCAAACAGTGTCTGCTTACAGGGCACTTCTGCTGCCGCCATATGGCGGGGTGGACAAATGAATATGGAATTCAGGAGCCAGAAGCCATTTTTCTATTAGATGCCAGCTCCATTGACAACAATGAGAGAAAACCTCAAAAGTTAGATGCCAGCTGCATTGGCTACCTGGCTCCTGGGATTTGTCCAGCCCTGCGGTATTGCAAATGGCTGCAGCAGCAAGAAGGTAAACATGCGTTACGAAGCCTCAAGGTTTTCCTTAATGTACAATAAAACATGTGTTATGCGTTTACATTGATTTTAATAGAAAATGCATGAAGGAATACCACATGATTGTGAAGAGGGACTTTAAAACAAAGCTTTCATTTTTATGCTCAAACTATTTTAAATATGTTGAAATCAGAAAAAAATTTCTGTTAAAAAATTACATAGACGGGTGCAAAATGACACATATACAGCTCAGGTATTTCCAAAGTCAAGAGTATTCCAATAATATGCAGTAGATAATGGTATACATTGGTGTATATACTGAACATTACATGCATAAGTACAAGACAAAAGAACCTTTCCATGTCAGATGTTTCCAGAGCCCACTGTCCCCAGCCATCTAGAGTAGACCATGGAGTCAAACTTACACATTGTATTACATAGTGAGTAGCTATGTTTTTTTTAAATAGGAAATAGGCCTGTTGAGTTCACATAGCCATTTCTCTATTAAGGGTGGAACTGCCGACATCCATTTGATCCTACGAGCAGCAAATAACGATCTGGAACCTGCCATAGAGGCACATTCATCAGTGGTATCATGATGGCAGGAATACAGGCAAGACGGTCAACATTTAAGGTTACGCCAAGGACTCCGTTAAGGGTCATAATCTCCTTATCCCAACAGTTCCTATGCTAGTTTGGTCACAGAATCCTACAAAATTTTAAATGACCAGTAAGGAGCTGGAAGAGGTGGAAAGGGCAGGAAATCTGTTGTTCTTCTTGGAAAAAGTTTAAAAGTTAAGTGCAGGTGCAGACAACGTTCAGTGAGTTACATTTAAAGAGTATCTATGATCAAAAACTAAAAATAATGTATTTCTATATTAAATTTCCATACGTTCTATCCCACACCAAATAACCACACCCATCTAGAATTTTGTAAACTTACTTATTAAAGATGTCCATAGGATGTACACCGACACAATTTAACTCAGCTCTGTAAATATTCACTTCTCTGTTATCACAACCCTCACAAGCCTGCCTTCTGAACTACAACTCAACTGCTAAACAATGCATCATTTTCATTGCTTGCTGGAGGCAATGCATGGTGGGATATGTAGTCTTCAAAAATCAAAACTGCATTACATCAAGCAGCAGGAAAAAAAGAGATGCAAAGCATACTGGAAATCCAGGAAGCTTTTGAAAGAAGGCAGCACTCAATGCGTAAAAGGGTTTGTTTTTCAAGTAAGCTTTAATTGCATTACCAAAAAACAACTCTCGTATGTATTCCTATTACAATGCCGATGTTATACCAGGATAACAGTACACCTTCAACCAGTCTGCAACTTAAACTGTATTTCCACTTTCACAGTCAAATTTGAGAAAACCCCTCTATTTGTTCATTATGTGTTCCTGCTCAAACAGCATACTAAAAATTAACTTTAAAAAAAATATATATTACATAATTACTTTTTAGATGTTTTGTTAAAATCAGGCAAGATGGCTGATTCCAGGTTTTTCTGAGCTCTGTGTCCTTATAGAAATACTTGGGACCGAAATTAGAGAATTGCGTTTATCTGATAAGCTTCATTAACATACAATCCACCTCAGACCCGTCACCCCTCACAGCCTGTCCTAACGTTTCAAAGAAATAGAAGCTAAAAGAAATGTTAACCCTTAAAAACCTAACC